TCTAAAAATAGATCATCTTGTATTTACCTCTATAACATATGGTATGATAATATTATGTTATCAATAAATATTATTTTCTATGGAGGAAATAATAGATATGAACGTGGAGTATCAGTTTTCAACTTTTATCAAACTTGTAATCCAAAATGATAAGAAAACTACAAAAATATGGTTTTGTCCGGAGTCACCCCGCATGTCCGAAGTCACCCCATTTTACGGTACCTATAGGTACCTATATATAAACGTGCCTATCGATAACCACCACAAAATTAAAAAAACAGTAATAATTTCACGTTTTACTTACTTATCTTATATACCTAAGTCTTTTCGTCGTGACATATAAAACCAGCCCCAGACGCAATATTATTATTATTATGAAAAATTGTTATAATAACTACTATCGTTCATAAATTGTATGATATTTTTAAATTTGAACGTGGGTATGCATACGAACGTGTCTGGTAGATCAAAATATTGTTCGTCATGAAACGCAAATTCCATGTAATATGTTTTTTTGAAATTTCCTAGAGAAAAAAAACAAAAATAACTTTACTATTTAGTATTTTGGCCGTCGAGGCAAACGTGTCATTTAAATACATTTTCATTAAAATTCTTTGTTTTCGAATTAATTTATTAAATAATCAACAATCCACATTTAACTAGTTCTGTATGTCTACAAATAGATACAAAATATCTATAATATGTATTTAGATCTCATAATATAGTACAATTAATGGGATAAATGTATACCTATATTATGTAAATATTATTCGAAATGACTTAGAAAATAATATATAACATTATGCATAATTAAGTTTCTGAATAATTTTTTTAATTGTTTTTAAAACACATTTTAAAAAGTAATATACATACAAATTATATAATAATATGTATAAGCTGCGCCTATGTAAAATATATTTTAGATTCTGAGCGGAGCGAGGAAGCTAGTGGTTTTATAATGGTGTTTATTTTTTTTTTTATATCCTGTATACAAAATGTTTACCAGAAGGAGTTCTTCGATTTCAGCATATAGCGTACCTTATCTTTTAACAAATTGAATCAAGATGCTACTTTAGACAGATCATTTTTTGATTTTATGAATAGTTGTTAAACGCCAAGGTAAAAGTCACCGAAAAATTACGAAAAACTACTAAAAATTGGATTTCAATTTCTAACGCTTTGTTCATTACCATAGAAACGAAAAAAAAAATAGTAATATTGTACCTAATATTAATTCAACTTATATGATATAATAATTAATGACAATACAAAATATCCAGACTGACAAAGAGTCCCCGTTCAAAATCGTTTTTCTTATACAATGATATTATATCATTGAATTCAAGTTTATTACAATACATTATACAATGACCCACTTGTAATACCTACTGTACAGAAGAGCGACATCCACTTACCTGTGGACTTTTTTTAATGTTTTGATATTTTTTTTAAATTTAACATTCATTAATCATAGGTACCAACATAATATATTAAGATAATGTTTAAATTATTTTATGTTAATTTTTTAGAAATCACAATATTTACGTAGACATAGAAACATATTAACTTATGGCCTACAAGAGAATATTACTCCAGAAAACTTTATACCAATCGTGTACTATTTAAATTGACGAATTCTATATTTTATGGCGTTCAGTATAATATCACAGTATATAATATTGTTTAAGCTCCAATAATTTGAACAAATCGGATTTCAATAACTATAATTTAAACATTATTGCAGCGTTATATGATTCCGGTGCGATTGAATCGATGGGGTACATTTCGGTTATCTTGAGTATTTACGTTTTGCTGTTAAATCCAATTATCATATTCATCTGTCGCGTCTAAACTATTGTAAACATATAACATAATATAATATGATAAATATCAATATCAATTTTTTCTTCAATACGATTGAGAGTGCAGATCATGTTATTTGGATGATGTGTGAAATAGATAAATCATAGTTAAGACGGTTAATCGGGTGGAAGCGGTGGGAGGGTGTTAACCGTTGAGTTTTGTTAACCGTTAACCGTTTTTTTCCATAACTCATGTACTTATAGGTAAAGAACGGTCACAATAAATTATATTTTTAATGATCAAACTATGTACCTACGTGAAAAAATCAGCCTCACCTCCCCGGCTACCCCACCCGACCCCATGACAAAATCGTTTGACCTCCACTGCTTATAATATTTAAATTATGTGTGAACTTCGTGAATGCAATGCTCTCAAAAGAAAAAGAAAAATCTTATAATATCTCATCATTGGATAGGACATTTTTACAATACGCAGTCAAAACAAAAAATAATATAACGTTTGTACAAAATGATCGACACGAAATACTATAACAACGGGACATTGCAAACGGAAGAATCACCAAACAAAAATGTGTTTAACGTTGTCTATGACGAAGGTGTGTATAATCGCTGTGAAAACAATACGAAAAAAGAAAATATGAGACACAGTTTTTAATATTATAATATATTAACAACAATGGTGACGAGCACAATGGTTACAACATTAAAATGTATTAAATTGTGTTGTACAACACAAAATGAATTATTTTTATATTCTTCGTATTCGATTAAACTCGTCGGCATTGACACGCCATGAGCGCAACATTCGCTGTTATACTTTTATTTTTATTTTATAATATGGTATACTAATTATTTAGTGTCGACGAATAATATCGAATAATCGAAATCGTTTAATAGTTTAATAATTTAAAACAAATACATATGCTGTTTATGTGTATGTTTATTTATTTATAATAAGTTTAGGATTGATCGAGTTCAAGATTTTTTCGAATCTACTGAACCTAATATAATAATATTGTAATATATTAAATACTGTAATATTTTATGACGCGTCACAGCACGATCATATTATATTCAACGATAGACGCATAAACAAGTTAAAAATTAAAATATAGTTCAACTTCAAGCTGATTTCAACTAAGTTATCAACTCTTAACTTATTTTTGGAATAAACTTTTAATTTAATAAGTAATTTTAATGAACATAATGTGTTAACTTCAAGTTGATTTAAACTTCTAAACTCTAAGTATTTATAACATATACACTACCTACTAGTCCAAAATGCCTATATACCGAATTACAACGAAATATTATATTATAATTTAGAATAATAAATTAAAAATATATTATGTTACAATAGGTACAAATGTACGATAAAGTAAAGCATATAAAATTGAAACCCATCTTGATGTAAGCATCGAAAATAAAAAATGAATGATGTAACACTTAATTGGTGAATGAAATCCTAACATTTTTAGTAAATTGAATGGATTTGCTTCTTGAGCTTCGAGTCACCGAAACTGCATTGATATTAATTTTAAATCCATCCTCATCAGGTATTCAGGTGAATACACAATGAAACTTACTACATTCATAGTATTTTTTTTTTTATGTTTTTTATAGCAAATAAATAAATTTACTACAATTTTATGAAATGAAAAAAAATGTATTATTTTAATATATTTTAAATTAATAATAAAGATCACAATAAAGTATTAAAATACTTGTGAAAAATCTAAGTTATTTTTAACGAAAAATTATACGTAAGATATCAAATGCGAGTATGTGAGTATGTATTTTTTTTTTGAAAAATAAGAATAAACCGTGCATATTGTATTTTTATTTGGTTCTTCCATCATAATATTTGATGCAATTATAATGCAAACGATGCAGTTATATTATTATATTATAATCATAAATAAAAAAACGAACAGGGGTGGATTGGCGTGGGTGCGGATGTGGAAATTCTGGGTCATGCATATAATAATAATATAAAATTTATAAATCATCCAGCGAGGCTAATCTTATTCAAAACCATATTTTTAACCAATGAATTTTCAAAGTTTGTGAAATAACATCAGTGTGGTGTACACACGAGGGTGTCATGCCGACCTGTCCATCCGGAAAAAATATTTTTTTCCACTTACATTGATCGTATTACATAATATAGTATGTAAAATTCAATATTTATCTTCGAGTCAGATTCTCGAAATGGTATTATAATGGTTCAATAACGTCATTCCATTATATCTGGTCATTCGTCTAACACCATTATAATACTGGTTACCTATATAGAGATTTATGCTGCTTAGTTTTTAATACTTGGACACCTATACCTATATACGAATGGACGGGTCACGGGTGACAGCTAGTGTTCAAATAGACAACATGTTTTACTTAGAGTAAAACGTAAATATTATATTTGTGTTATTCAATTTCAGTGATCGACCAGGTTCAACACTTCTGATTCCGGAATGGAACAAGTGGGCTCCGCCAACTGGGCACGGCCAATTCGGCACAGCTAACTGGGCGTTGGACAAGTAGGCGCGAGTTAAGTGGACACTAAGACAACTGGACCCTAAACAGCTAATTATACTAACAGCTACTTAAAAGCTAATTATTTAGCTCTAAACTATTACTATTTTAATTTTTTTTGTTTTTGTTTTAATATTTATCTTTTTACCAAACTAAATTATATAAAACAAAAATAATTCACAAATAGATAATGTGTTGCAACATGCAATGTGTATGTGTGAGTCGGTTGGCCGTTTATAGATAAACGACGCCGCAAACTATCTTACTGTACAGTACTACAGTGTGGAGCGTATGCGGCGACACTAAAATAAAATATTATATATATACCTAACGGACGACGCGACGTGAACAAATACCATAACGCAACAATAACGATAATGCTTAATGGGTGGATAACGATTGTGCCTATAGGTAGATTACATTTAGTCTTATTTTGAACTTAGAAGCAATAGTGTTCAGTTCAGACAACATGGACAACATGGAAATCACATCACAACGAAATCGTGAAAAGTTTTTTGATGACGGATTTTTGTACATATTTGACAAACTATAGAAGATAAAACTGAGTTTTGGCGATTTGAACAAAAACGACATTATAAAGCGCGCGTGCATATTATATGACATTACAAAAAGCGGCTGCATATGGCTGGAGCTAATCATGAAGTTGTGAAAACTATAAATATGCATAGCCACGAACCATCTGCAGCTCAAGAAGCAGAGGATAAAATCGTTACAAAAATTAAGAAAAGCACTATAGAAACACAAGAATTGACATGTCAAGTAATCAACGAATGCACCCAAAATAGTGATGTCGCTTGTCAAGGAGCTCTCCCCAATCAACAAGCGTTAAAGAAGCTAATCAGGAGGAAACGCAACGAAGAAAAATCAAGCTCCGTCGAATCCTATAACTCTGGCTTCCCTCGAAATTCCTGAATATTATAAAATGCATGAGTCAGAACCGGGAAACACTGAAAACTTTTTTCTAGCTGATAGTGGACCAGATGCAGAAAGAATCCTAATTTTTGGACGTAAACGAAATCTAGGACTAGTATTAAACTGAGATGGTTTTATTATGGACGGGACATTTAAAATTTCGCCATATTTATTTAAACAAATTTTTGTTGTTCTAGCAAAAAAATTTGGAGGTGTTCACCCAATCTTCTACGCACTTTTCCCAAATAAATGTAGAGAAACTTATGACAAATTATTTGGCACGATTAAAGTGTTAGTGCCAAACTTCTATTCAAAATCTATCACTTGTTACTATGAAATGGCTGCTTTCAAAAGTATTTCAGAAATATTTCCTACCATAGAAAGCTAAGGTTGTTCTTTCATTTGGCAAAAAATATGAAAAAAAATTTGGGTGAATTAGGCCTAATAAATCGTTACAACAATGAACCCAACTTTTCGTTGTCCTCAAAAATGGTTATAGATTTGACGTCTGTCCCAATCGAAAACATGGATAATACTCTATTATTATTATCTGAAAACTTACAGAATGATTTGCAACCACTTTTAGACTAGTTTGAGGACAACAGAAGAATGAATTGGAGAGGTAATGGACGAAGGCAGCCTTTGTTTCCTCACGAAATGTGGAATGTCTTCAACAGAACTTTAAACCAACAAGACAGAATTAATAATCCTGCTGAAGCAGCTCATCGACGACTTCAGACGGAATTAGGTATGAATCACTCTACAATCTGGAAGCTTATTGACGGTTTACGAAAAGTGCAAACCAATCGTGACTTTTATTATGAACAACTTGTTGCTGGACACAATCCACCAGTGAAATTAAAGAAGTACAGGGATGCCGATCAACGTATTTTAACAGTTGTTCGAGACTATTTTAACAGAGCAGTTGTCGAATATTTAAGAGGAATTTCACATAATTACCAAATGAGTTTATAAATTAAATAAGACAAAAATTTTAGATTTTAAGAAAGACTATATGGGAGCACTTTTCAGATTGTATTATTCCGAAGTAAATATTAATAAAATGTCACACTATGATAGTGATATACATAATATATAGACATAAGTATATACATAAGTCATGAATGTGTTAGTGTAATATGGGCAGTAAAAATAAAATTTGATTGTTTCGGAATTAAGTACACACCTGTTGATTCTGGTGCTGCTGCTGCAGTAGGTAATCAATTCACAAAGGCTCCATTTATGAAATACGATATTTATGATGATATTTTGTGCCACGAATATAATGTTGAAGAAAACAGACACATCATGGCTATAGTGGACTTTATATTATTGTGTTTATTCATTCAATTATCATGATTAAAGAACCCTTATAAAGTTTGTATCGCAACCGTCAACCCTAGCACTAAACTTTAAAATCTATCCGAAAAATTTGTTTGTAGGTTGTTGAACAATCGTGGAGTTTTCTCAAATTGTAGTAGATTCTATTCATGCACTTGGAAACTTTACTCACAGAACAAAACTTTTTGTTATGTATCGAATTTTATTGTTTATATAAAAAAAAATGTATACCCCGCCTTGTTGGACATTGTTAAAATATAACTGACATTCTTGGGATTTACCATTTCGATGTACACTTGAACTGATTCATGACGACCCTTCCGAGTGCTGATGTTCATTTCGTCTATCAAAACGTTATTGATCGAAAATGAAAAATACTATCTGTCGAGCACAGAATATAATACGGTGTCATACAACGATAGTAATTAATGTTCGGCGACAGTATATATTATAATATAATTTTAATTTAATTCATTATTGAAAATAAGTTTTTGACAAATCATTTTTAATTATAAATTATATTGAATTCGTAAAACTATTGATGCGTAGTTGATATTATTATATCACGGTAGGGTGTTCGGTTAAAGTTAAGTCAACCCTTGGGACGTAGGTATACATTACCCAAGGACGGAAATATAGGTATTTGATATGGATACCAAAAACAGGGCGATAAGGAAATAAATGGAATCGCATTAAACTATGCATAATAATGAGCCAAAACCCATAGTAGGTACTGAATGTTTCCTTCCAGATATTATATTTGGATCAATATTGTTCACTGTTGATAATAATTATGCGGCTCGTTATAGGTATTAATTTTTTCCTGCTCTTTCATTAGTCATTACTCATTACCTATATTATTTTGAGGCTCATGCATATCTTATCACTGACCACCCCTGTATTAGAAGATTAATAATTGTCTGACAAAACGTCAAGTTGCGTAATGACTAATGAGAATAGTTGTAAAATTAAAAAAATATTTTGGGTTGACACTAGAGGCCGAAAACATTTTCGTATACCTATATAAATATATAATATTACTACATTCTGAAATATCTTTTAGCACAGATAATAATATTATGTATATCGAGTTCACTGTAAAGGGATTTGATTGTGCCTCAAACTTCACCAAGTGATAAATGAGAAAACACGTCGATTTATCGTTTAAGCAAGGTGGATATATATATATATATATATATCCACCTTGCGTTTAAGCCTACCAAATACGCATTTTATAAAAATAAAATAGAACCATCGATGAGCAGATGGGATTTGTGTAACAGTGAATCGTTCAACTTATTACCAAATAAATTATATTGTACCGATTTTCATCAGGGACGTATGCAAGATCTTGGAGTGGGGGTCAGACCCCTCCCCCCCATAGGCATTTTTTAATTTTATAAAATATTGTTCTTAGTGTTGGCACGTTACAATAAAACATAAAAAAAAATATTTGAATAAATTGTGTTCTATAACTGTTTCATTCTGGGGCATCATTTCAACTCTTTGATAGATATGCTAACAACTAAAGGTAGGTTAGGCCAAAGAAATTTTCATCAGACCAGTTTATACTATAGACGTTAAAAAAAAAATTTTTCTCACTACGCTCGACAAATAGAATCTTTATATTTTAAATGTAATAATCTAATAGATTAGACGAATATAGTATGCCTAATAAGTAATAACACAAAATTTGTACTTCAATTATTTAAACTCAATTTTTTATATCTATATAGTAACTCTGTTGTACGTATTTATATAACACCTATATTTCATGACAAATAGTTTTGGTTTTGTAGTAGGTACTTCGAGTGACATCTAGCGGTATTATAACGAACGTTAGGCGTTAAACGAGAACACCAGTAACTTATTCAAATAAAATATTATATACATAAAACATAAATGATACATTTTAATATCATGTGATAGTCAATAGGTACCTATATAATATTACAACACATTTTCAAAAAGTATTAAAAGACAATTATTTAATTGTGTTTAGTAATAACAATATATTATTATTATATCACAAAATGTGGTCTATTCTATTTACGATTTACTTATGCACCAAATAATTTTATTTAAAGCCAAAAATTGGTTTTTCGGATGCAATGGCATAAAAGTATAAAACTATTGACTATTGAGTCAATACTCAATAGTGTGACCGGAAGAGAAAACGTGTCGTGTCGGTGCGTTTATCATGCAGTGAAGCTTTGTTTATTTTCTATGCAATCTATTTTTAATACATTTTTATGATTTTTATTATCATATTGTCAACGCAATATTATATCGAAGGTCATCGAAGGTAGTATTAAAAAAAAAAAAAATTAGATTAATAATATTATAGGTACATCTACATAATACTTACAGTTTTGTATTTTTGTACAATAATATTGGGGTATACAAAAATTATTTATTTATGAACACAAAATCGAATTTTTATTTTATTTTGAGTTTGATGTAACTGCAAATGAGATTTTATTTTTAACTCGAATAATTGGATCGTTTTTCAGAAAAAAAGTTTACTAAACATGAGAAACTAAAAGTAAATATTATATAAAACACAGATGCCTCATTTCCCTTCGAGGGTGTAACTTAATAAATAAAACAAGTAATATAATGTTATTCGATTAGGACTATTTTACATTTTCAGGATATTCTTATTCTGTTCAAAAAGTGAAAAAGAATTTTTTTCACTCTGAGTTAAAAAAAAAAATAGTGTATTTGGAAAGAAACCGATGGCACTTCCACAGAAAATATTATAATATGGCCACCTGCGACTATGATCGTTTTATTTTTTAATTTTCAATCGTTTCCCGCAATAACTAATAAAAAAAATAAATAAATAAGAAACTGACGACGAAAAAAGTAAAACTATACTAATCCATTGTTGCAAATAGCTCTTACTGTTTTTTATAACAATATAATTTGTATGTTTAAATACTAAGATGACGCTACTCATACATTTGTTGTCTATGTCTTACACACGCACGACATAGTAAATTGTCGTTCACTAGTTTCAATAGCGTGCTATTAGTTTTGACACTAGAGTGAATTGTCCTATTATAAAACTTTTAGGTAAGAACATTATCTGTGCTTAAATGCAGCTGATTTTTCGAAATTTTTATTTACAAGCAAGATATTGGTATCTGAAATATCAAAAAATAAAAATGCTCATATCTGGCTTGAATATTAAATATTGAATAAATGCCAACGCTTAAGAACAGGTAATTTTATAATCTAAAAAATTGATAACAGCTCAAATCACTCTAATAGCAAAACTAACAGCAGACTATTGAAACTAGTGAACGAAAATTTGGTATGTCGTACGTGTGTGAGACGGTGACAAAAATCCGATTAATATAATATTAACTCAATAAGTCAAAATATTACTGTATATTTATGTTTTAAAAGAGCTTCACAAATTCAAACATAACTTATAACTTAAATATATTATATAATATGTGCCTAATATGTCCAATCGTATCAAATGATATGTATTATTTTATATTTATTTTTAATTTTTAATTTTTTTTTTATTTTTGTGTCTGTGTACACGATAATTAGTCGAAATAATGCTTCGATTTCCGACTTCAGTATCTTGTTCGATTGGAAAGTGAATATCGTTGGTGCATTGGGGAGGTCAAAATTTAAAATTCCCAGTACTTTTCAAAAGCGCCAAGAAAAACAAAAGAAAAATTAAAGAAAAACGGGAATTTTTACGCAAAATCGATTTTTCAGAAAATTGAATTTGGTTTTTGGTGTAACTTTAAAACAAATGACCGTAGATACATGACATTTTCACTGATTGTTTATATTTGCATTTTCTATACACGATAACATTTTCAAAATATTTTGATTTATTTTGAACTGTTTAGGGACATTTTCATTTTTAATTTTTTTTTAGTTTTTTTTCTAGAAATATCAATAAAATTTTATTTGTTGGTTGAAAAAACTTGAAAATTTAATAGAAGGCTCCTAGTATATTGTTTCAAAGGCAGATGAAAAATATTAAAATTCCTTAGTCACAGTTTTTTTTTATAAGCATTTAAAGTTCAAAAATTGACAAAATATGAAAAAATCACGAAAATTAGCAAATTATTTTGAGTTAAGAATTCGTAAAAATTTTTCTTTTTAAATCTAAGATTTTAAAATGTAATACAAGATTCCTTATAAGATTATCTACTTTATCAAAAAAAAAAATGTCTATAAGAAAGTCAAATTAAATTTTTATGAGTGTTTGAAATTCAGATTTTTACAACATTGGATATTCACTCAATTTCTCATGTAACGATTTCCTTATTTTGTTGTAATTCAAAAACGAATGACTGTAGATACATGACAATTTCACTGAATGTTTAAATTAGCATTTTCTATACACCATAAAGTTTTGAAAATATTTTGACTCTTTTTGAGCTGTTTGCGGACATTTTCAGTTTTCAATTTTTTTAGTTTTTTTTTCTATAAATATCAATTAAGTCTTATCTGTTGGGCCAAAAAGTGTAAACATTGAATACAAGACTCCTGATATATTGTTACAATATCAGTTCAAAAACATTGAAAATACATAGGCACAATTTTTTTTAATAAGTATTTATAGTTGGAATTTTGACAAAATGTATCAAAATCTCGAAAATTATCAATCATTGTAATTAATAAATTCTAAAATGTTCAGTTTTTATAGCTAAGGATTGCAAATTTAAAACAAAGGTTCTCATAAATAGTTCATACTGTAACCAAAAAATCTAAAAAAATATATGAACACACTTATTTTTTACAGACATTTTAAATTCAAATTTGGACTAAATCACATATTAAAAAACCTAGAATAACTATTTTAGTTACTTTGTTGTGATTGAATAATATTATTCGTGGGCACTTGAAACTTCTAAAGTGTACTATTATATATCTATGATAGTAGGGTTTGTCATATCAGGGTTTGTTGTTGATGTATAACGCGGTATAAGTACCTAATGGATATTGTGATATGATGAATTTAGAATTTATTATAGGTACCTATTTTTGGTCAATTTTTTGTTTAATACCATAGATATGTATATAATATGTCTTATACCTAGACTGACATACCGTCTCATCCGCTCAGAATCGTTTTTTTTATACATTGATATTATATCATTGAATCAAATTTAATACTATCCACTATACAGTGACAGACTTGTAACCTACTGTATAGCAGAGCGACACCCCCTTGCCCACCTTTTTTTTTGTTCACTTTCTCATTTTTCAAACATCTATCCACTAAGATAGCATTTTTTATTAGTGGCGGACAGACCTCTTATAAAAATAGTCTGCTAAACAATTGTTCTAAGCTAGTTGACTTAAGTTAAAAAAAAAAAAAACTATTACATGATGAGTACATAATAATATGGTCTACTTCTGTCATTGAAATAGGTGGTGAATAATTAATCAAGACGTCTTTTAAAGTCTTAAGTTCAATTATCTCGCAGAATCTTTTAACATACATTGTATCCATAGTTCAAAGACTTTGCTGTACATTTATATTACAAATTTTAGATCCGTTTTTATACTTAATTTGGCCTTTGGTGGAGTGTTTTTGTAGGGATTAAATTGACTATATCAGTGTATTATTTAATATCATCTATATAATGCCTGAAAGGTATATTATATTGTATAATAATATGAAAAACAAATTAAATGAAAATCAATAATACGGCTAGTGTATTTAAATAAAATAATTATGAACATTACAATGCAAACAATGACAAGCAAAACGTCAGAAAATATCACACAACGTTTTACTATTATTCAAAAAGTAATATTTAGTAACTAGTTAGTGTGACACTAGATATTACACGTTGAACAGATCTGTTCATATATTACAGGTACTCATCGGAAGCAAAAATAAAAAAGATAAACCATGAAGCATTTTATTATTTGTATGTTTATACAATTGATATTTACAATTAGTTTGAGTTCGTCTGTTGATTTAAAACTGTTTTCCAGTTCTCCAGTCGTAAGTCAAAATCACGATAATTTGAAAATATTACGGGTTTAATTATTTAATGTATCTATTACAACAACTTCTATCATTTTTAAAATATTTAAATTACATAATTGTATTTATTGAAAATATCTTTTTTCATTGTTACATTTTTTTTAAGTTCACTTTTTTCGTGAAAACATATTTTTAATTTCTTAAAGAAAGGAGAATATTTTTGGATAACTTATTTCAACTTTAGATGAGCACTAAATGTAGGACCACTACTCCACTCATATAAACTTTAAATTCTAACATACATTTTGTATTCAAGAATAGTTATTTATATTACTATGATATTATTGTAATGCAATAATATATGCATTTTTAAGCAAAAAAAATATTTATGCACTGATTAATATTTCTGTTTAGGGTCCTTACCGAATGGTATTAAAACAGGGTTATGATTGCAGTCCTACGCGGGATAATAAAATTCAGTTTAACATGCATCTAATTCACAGGGAAAATAGTACAATGCTTGTTGCAAATACATCCAATACCATACCATTTGATGACAATTTATTCGTAAGTGGTTAAGATTGATACTATGCCCCTATAATGGCGAGTTTGTAGTATTTTGTTTAAATAAAATGTATGAAATAATTTTTTTTTTAAATAAGCATGCTAAAATATAAAGATTTAATTAATTAAAATATATAATTAACATATTATTATCATAATATTATGTCATAGATGCGTATTTTATATAGTTTGTGTGATGTATATTATATATTAATATTATATTATAATACATTGTACTGTTATAAGCAATAAAAATAATAAAATAATGAACAAGATTAGTTTATTATGATATCATGACTGGTGACTAGGGTCTGTATCAAAAACTCCATGTTACATAAATATTAAATATTCAAAGTTCATATATTAAGTTATTATATCATTAGTTAGCTTATAAGCTCAATAATCTATAAGTAATTTATATATTTAAATATACCTATACAAGTAGATATTACTATTATAACTGCATACACATAGGTATTTCCAGGTCCTTGTGGTTAAGCAGACGCCTAGGTCTGACTTAAAATTATAAATTTTTCATTGTGCTTTCATTTTAAGGTATTTCAGGTAAATTTGTGCTATGTATTTTTTTATTTTCTGTACAGGGGTTAAATTATTTTAGCTGATGCAAATTACTCACATATGAATATTTTGTATATGCGTCTGCTAATAATGACTATAGTTATGTTTTTATGTCACATTCCATTTGAATAATTATAAAATAGATTATAGATCATAGATGTATTATATAAGCCTAACATGTCTGACTTTAGTTAGAACTGCATAGTTAAGTTTTATTCTAGCTGGTGTAGAAATACTGCATATGATTAACACTGTGGTGCATTTTTCGGTACAAAATATTTCTTTTTCGAAACACGCTACAGTTGAGTTTTGCAGAACCACATCAGAGATCAATTACCCAGTGTGTTTTTTTATAGTTGGAAATGAAAATGGCTCTCAAAGATTCATATGGCATTTGGAAAGAAAATTTATACATACATAAATCACCTAACGCATGCTCAACGGTAAAACAATTATTGGGAAAAGCATGGCCAGAAATCATTCATGGTTATGGATTTCCAACTGTCAATTGTCCTATACCTCCGGTAAAAACATTTTTTTTTACTTTATAATATTTGATTTATTTATTAATTATTATTATTTTCATGCGAATTTGAATTTATTCTGAAGTATTATACCCGTTTTATTAAACTAAACGCAATTAAATATAGTATAAGATAGAAGAATATTTATTTTAGTAGGTATATAACAGAATGGCTGTAGCCTCAAATACCTATAGAAAAATGTTAGGTATGTACCAACTTTTACATATATATAAATTTCTATCTAGCTCCTATTATTTTTTGTATGTCCTTTACAAACAACTACGTCATACTCCACAATATATCTGAAAAGCAGACTGTATAATGGTTTTAGCGGAGCTATCAAATTTAATTCACCATAGATTGTTTTTATAAAACAAAGCGCTTTCAAAACCTTCCAGCATTAATTTCAAAATGAATATAATTTAATTTATGATTTAAATAGATACGATAATTACGAAATAATGAAAATTATTGTAGGTGTAAAGGGCGGGAGAGGAATACCGATGAAGAGATGGATATACAAACTAGAGATTGACCTGAATATAGCTGGGGAGGGAATTAAGAAGTATTTGGGTGAGACATAGACCTAGCTGGTATGTAAATTGTAGGCCAAAACTGGCTGACATCATAGAGTGGTGAAAAAAAACCAAAGATAATGATGGAGATGAATTAAAATGGACTAATTAATTTTACAAACTATGAACGATGACAGTAAGTTATTGTCGTATATTTTTATATTCGTTGTTATACTTTCAGGGTGCTTATATATCTCCAGGGATGAATGTGCAGTCAATTTGTGAAAACTCTAATTTTCCAAAAATGTTTATTTATGGAACATACAAATTTCATATTATTTACTACACACGAAAAAATGAAATTTTTGGCTGCCAAGGTTTCATTTTTGATATGAAGCGTCCTTGAAATGTGTTGTATATTAACTTCAATTATAATGTTTTATTAAATATATTATGCAGTATAATTAATTTTAAAAAAAAATGTAATTATTCATATATCTCAAAAATAATAAATTTTGAATATCTTAAGTTAAATATTACCACATGATATTCTGGATTATAGTCCATAAACAAAGTTGTCAGTAAGTTTGATGGCGGTTACCCAACCAAACTACATCAGTCTGTCATATCTAAATTAATTTATGTTGATAAATTCTTATTTATATCGTAATATATTAACGAATTAGAGAAGTCGCTGATTCACATAGTACAGCTGTTGAGGATGAATGGATATCGGATGCGAATCTTCAAGCCCCGGAAAATAATATTCAAACTCTATAAATTTAATTTACTATATCCATGTTTTATTCAATAATATAATAATAATAAAAATTTAATTTGAGTTTCTTGTAGACTTTTTTTTTTGATAAAGGCAGACAAACTAATTAGGAATCTGCTATTACATTTTCAAATCTAAGATTTAAAAAAAAAATTGTTATATGAATTTCTAACTCAAAATAATTTGCAAACTTTCGTCATTTTTAAGTATTTTGTCAATATTTGAAATTTAAGGACTTATAAAACAAAATTGTGACTAAGGAATTTTAATATTTTTCATCTGCCTTTGGAACAATATACTAGGAGCCTTGTATTAAATTTTCAAGCTTTTTTAACCAACAAATAACTAAAAAACTAAAAAAAAAAAAGGAAAATGTCCGTAAAGAGCTCAAAATAGGTCAAAATATTTGGAAAATATTATGGTGAATAGAAAATGATAATATAAACATTCAGTCAAAATTGCATGTACCTACGGTCATTTGATTAAGAGTTGCACCAAAAACCAAAATCGATTTTCTCGAAAACAGATTTTGAGTAAAAATTCCCGTTTTTCCTTAATTTTCCTTTTGTTTTTCAAGGCACTTTTGAAAACTACTGTGAAATTTTTAGTTTTGACCTCCCAAAGTACCAACTAGGTTCACTTTCCTATTAGAAAAAGTACTGTTGAAGAAATCCAAGCACTTTTACTTTCCTAAAAGGGATGACAGACACAAAAATAAAAAAAAATAAAAAAAAACACACATCATCATTGTAAAATTAATACATTCATCGTTCCACTCAAAATTTAAGGAGCGTAAGTGGATGTAACTCTGCTGTACTTTAGATTATAAGTGGGTGACTGTAAAGAGTGGTGTTAAATTTAATTTTAATGATATAATATGATTGTTTACGAAAAATAATTCTGGGCAAAGACGGTTTGTCAGTCTTGATATTGTATACTGTTATTATTTGTTATAGCCTGTAAGTTGAAGTAATATTATAGTGTAGGTAAGTATGATAATATAATAATATTTTTTAAATAATTTAACTTTTAATTATCAACTCGTTAATGCCCAGTCTTGTCCATTTATAATGTCTCATTTAATAGCTGGTTATGCAATATTATTGAAATAAACCACGTACTACTTTGTACGGTAGTCACCTGAACAAACTAAATTAATTATTTCTACATAAAATATTCATGACCTTTTTAAAACGTTTGTAAATTCACCTTAAATAACTCAAATACTAAATATTAAAGATATATAATTGGCTCTAGTTTTTAAAATAATATTTGTAATCGATATTTTGAAAATGAATGAAAATGTTTACATTTTTTTTTTTAAGTCAAACTTTTTTAATGGTACATAAATCATAGGTTTTAAAAATATAGTCAGTTACAAACTTTTAACAGGTCCATATGTTATTTACACTCTCTATAATATTAAATAATAATATCTAAACCAAAAATTGGTTTTTTATATGCAATGGTGCGAAACGAGACAATTGATTGACCGAATGAGACCTCAAGTGCGTTTATCGTGCATACAGTGAATTATTATTAGTTTATTTCTATGGAATCTATTTTCAATGTCATTTCAAAGATTTTAATTGTTTTATTACACTAAAATAATATTACATTGAAGGTGAATGGCCGGAATTTAAATAAAATTTAATAATTAAAATTATTTATTTATTTATTAACGCCTGTGATATTTTGTTATTTTGTATTATATTATTCAAATGTATAATATTGATATATTTATAAAAAGGAAACCGAATTATACCTTTACATTTTATTTTGCACAGTTTTTATAATTTGTATAAAAAATATAATTAAACAGTAAATATGATAAACTCAATGTGAATAATGTGGTATTATACAAAATTGTTATTGGTTTAGACTGTACGACTGAGATTCAATTAGTTTGTTTAATACCATGCTAAAATATAGTAAATAATGCAATAAAACTATAGAATGTTTTAAGTTTATATATCCATGAAATTAAGAAATATTTTTTTTTTTAATTTTTATTTACTAAAACACAAACATTTAATTAATTATTTACAATAATTATTAGACGTGCAAGTTATTTACGATCGATTTTGAGTTTATTGTGGGTGGGGGAAGACTGACATTTCTGCATAATATTATTTCAAATATTTCGCAACACATTATGTAATACTAATGCCAAAGTATCCCACCTCGATAACAATATCGTGGACGAGTATTATTTCATATTTTGATGTCAATATATTGAAATAATACAATAATTATGTCATTAAATATATTTTATCCAATATACATGTATTATTCAATTCCATGCTGTGATATTGTGATATGTTTGAATATAATAATACGAAAAACATATTCAACATCAATTTAATTTGAATGAATATCATTACAATGCAAATAATAGCAAGCAAAACTCCGAAAAAAGAAACAAACAACATTAATTGCTATTACTCGAAAAGCAATACTTATAGGTAGCTTAATGTATGTGAAACTCGATTTTACACGTAAAACAGTACCAATCTGTTTTGTATACCCATTTTCACAGGCAAGAAGCAAAAAAGACAAACAATGAAACATAATATATTTTTGTTTATGTTTATACAACTGTTATACACATTAAGATTGGGATCGGCTGCCACTTCGAAACCGATTTTGAGTTCTACATTCGTAAGTAAATTACTAAGTTATTTTTATTATTTATAAACAGGTAATGTAATAATACTTACTATGATAGCCGATAGGTATTAAATAAGTCATGTTCAAAAATATTAAGTAGCTATCTTATCGCTGTAAGAGCAGCTTGTCTGAGATTTATTGTATTAAATGTTCAGGATTTTTCACCAAATCCAACATCATTGGAACATCAGACAAAAAAGAAAACTTAAAAATCATTAATATTTTTTTATCAAATGTATAGAAAAAACTAAGAAATTTCAAGTTTATATTATTTTTGAATATTTTTAAAAATTTCGTCTTAAATATAATAAAAAATGGTTATTTAAAACAAAAAATTAGAATAACCGTCTTGGGATAGCAGACAGAATTAAAAACTTCTACTAATATATTTTTACAGGACTTGCCCGATCTCTGTTATACAGTAGACGCCGCTTATAAGACTCACTTTGGGACCAGCACAAAGTGAGTCTTATAACCGAATGAATCTTATAGGCGAAGTGAAAAAAAAAATTAAATACGTATTTATAAATTTTATTTTACTACATATTTTGCTTTGGTTTTAATACTCTAACACATATTACATATTACATACTTTATTATTGAATAAATTTAATAATAATAAAAAAACTAAAATTATAATAGGCGTAAATATTAGGTACATATAAAAATATTATAAAAATTATACATTAATAAAAAATTATAAAGGATGTATATGTACATATTATAATGTATTTATTATTTATTTTTATTATTTTATTATTTTATTTTATTATACGTTATAAAGTACCGCCAGAAACTAGAAATAATCAACACGAATATTATTTAATTTTTCAATACCAATTTATTTCTAAATTATAACCAAAAAAGTTTATTTTCTACTATTTATTTTACGAAATTTGAGTCTTATAACCGATTTTTTTTTTAATGTATTTGGATACGTCCGGACGGTTCCAGACGATTTCGAGTCTAATAAGCGACTGAACCTTATATCCGTGAGTCTTATAAGCGGCGTCTACTGTAGTATATTATGTATAATATATAAGATACAATTTAAGGTAATATGGTTTCCCATCGAATTATGATAAGAAAATCGGTACTTCAGTGAATTTCACTTTTTTTATTAAAGCTATCCATGCTATCAAAATAAAGGCAACAAAGTCGAATTCACACTGCTCCGTGATCCTTGAACCGTGATTTCCGGAAAAATAATTATCCGTGATTTCTTTAAATTATATATTTTTCATTTTTGTGGTGAAGTTGTGAACATAATGGTAAGTGGTAACTGGTTTATTGTTATCACAATGAAACAATCACCTATCAAACTGGGTTCACAACTGGCCATGTAGTGTCGTGTCTTTTTTCCTGTCTTTATAATCATTTTTATATCATTTTAGAGTAAAATTTTTGTCTGTACCTACTTTAGAAAATATTGGTGAATTATTAAATCAAACAAAAATGGATAATTCTAATATATAAATGCAATGCTAGTTTTTTTTATTCATCATAAGCATTGGAAACTATTGGCGTTATAATTGTATAGGGGTGTGATCACTCATTCGGGTACTAGTGACCTCGGTTGATGCTTGACTTCAGAACACATAAGTGACTGAGGATAACCACCGATCCACACAAGTTCAAAAAATATCTATCGTAGAATGCAGAAACATTTCACTATTACTTTATTTATCATTGTATATAATTACCTAGGTACATAAATAGAAGTATTTTTATTTTTTTTAAACATTAGTTCTTGGAATATCAAAAATAAATGTGGACAAGATGAGCCAAAATATTTACAACATTTATCATGTCAAAGCTCTATCCCAAATAAGAACTGTAGTCGACTTATGCGCAGGGGTGTGGCATTAATACACGGTCATTGGACACGATGGGGTGACAAACGGGTTTTGCCCGACTCGGAGCATCCGAGTTGGGTCCCGAGTACTAGGGATAAATCGCAGGTACCACAATAGTTGGGTCCGGGATTTTTTAGGTACTACACTAGTTGGGTCCGTTATATTTTTGGGTACTAAACTAGTTGGGTCCGGAATTATTTTAAGTAAATATACAATCCAAACAAATGATATTGTCATTGAAATTGATTAGCTATATTTTTGGGTATGAATTTTTGGGTATTTTCCTGTATGAAATATGTCAGTGCCCAATTAACTAAGATTATCTCTTATATATATTGAAAGATAACTTTGTAGGAATTCAAAACATTTATTCAGAACTAAAATCAGACAACGTTAACTAACTCTAATTTTGATAAAACAATAAATAATTTTTTGTAAAATTCATATACCTGGTGAATTTTATATTCTTATCTATATATTGACATGCCCATGCGCGTACGAGAATGGTACCCACATTTAATTTCATTCACACTAATAGGAAATAATCTACAAGTTTACAACACATAGATCCCAGGCGGCGATGAAGAGAATAGAAGTTTTCTAAATGTTTCCCCTTAATTAATAATAAAGGTAATATTGTTATCTAGTGAACAGAATACATTTTTTTTTATATTTTAATTTTGAAGCCACTTATGAGTATTTTAAAATGCACAGACAATTTACAATTTTAAAATTTTCATAACTTACTTTAAAATTAAAATATAAGAAAACCCCTATGAGGTTCACTAGATAATATTCTTAATTCTAAATATTATAAGAGATCAATTCACTCTAAATTTTAAACTAACAGATCTAAACGAGATCTGAGAGGACAATTTGCTATGTTATGCGTTTGTAAGACAGATAGAAACATGCGGGAGTAGCGCACTCTTAATGCGAAAATTGTGAAATGATGTTTATAATAGGTATTATGTGCTGATTAATATTTCTGTTTAGGGCCCTTTCCACATGGTCTTCAAACAGGTTTATAATTGCAATCCTACGAAGAACAACAAAATCCAGCATAACGTTTATATAATTCACAAGGGCAATTTAACATTTATACAAGGAAATATAACCAATGAAATACCTATTGACGACATTCTTTTCGTAAGTGATTGAAATTAATTTGATCTATTACTTGTGTGTTTGCTGTGTTCCACCTTGTAAATTCATATAGTTAATTGTGATAATGTACCTAATAATTTATTGTATATAATTATTACATTTCACGATTAGAGCCCCATTTATTGAAATGATAAAAAAAAATCTGATTTCCATATTGTTTAACAACTAGAGCTTCTAAAGACATGTGGCGGGTAAGTGGCACTTTTTTTAAATATAAAACGAATAAAATAATGTTGTTTTCAGAAATAGATTAAAATAGAAAATCGTTATATATAAAAAAAAATAATAATATACCTAGTTAATTTATGTAAATATGACGTATTTAGCACATTATTATACATTGCGAATCTGAGAATTCAATAATATTTATTTAAGTATTTATTTATTTCAGCCCAATCATTGCAATTACTTAATTACTATAAATTACATAAATAATGGCTGATACGTATACCAACTGAGCTATAAGCTTGTATCTGGTATACGGAGTTCATGAATATTAGAATATTATTAGAATATAGGTAGTTAATAGTTATCCTATGAAGTAATGTAATATAAAAACTTATTCAATAATTATGAATATAAAGACTAAAGTATATAATTAATTAGGAGAAGTAAATATAATAAGAAGTAACTATATTATGGTGACTATTAACAATTCTGCATAGTATTATATAAATATAATATATTTTATACTATACACATTACACACCAATATTAAACCATAACAACTTGAAATATATAAACTATAATAGTATGTTGTGTTAATGATGTCATTTTTGACAACGAAAATAAAAACTAACTAGAAACCAATTATCATATATCTAACATGACAACACACCTTGAGTAATTGAATAACTGTTATGTATTTCAAGTATCTCAACACAACAAGTAAAAAAATTATATAAAAATTAGTTTTAAAAATCAAAAAAAAGTAAGTAATGAATTTTCTTCTTGTATCAATATTTGTTATCACTAACTTGATAGCGCAGTGAGTGTAGTGTGTCCTCTATAAGAGCGCATATTATACTCCTGGACTTTAACCCTGGTGTTAAAAATTTTAATTTATAATTTATTATAATAAATTATATCATAACTATGACAATAATAACAGAGATTATAGAATACTACAAATGATAACAAGTAATTTATTAATAACAAGTAAAAATAACGTACAACTTATTTTTGAGGCAGTGGGTAGAATTGTCGTATCGCTCGTCTCGTGTCCCTTTGGTGGTTTGGACTTGAGCTAATCTGAGGACTCTATCTTGCCCTAAAAACAGTTTGGAGACACGACCTAGTTTTCAACGTAGAGGTAGAATATTTTTGTTTTCAATCAGCACTAGCTGTCCTTCAGTTAGCGGATTTGGTTGGTACTTGCTCCACTTTGGTGGGGTTTTTAACACTTTGAGTGGTGAAATGTATTCGTTGCTTCAGAGTTACCAAAATTGTTGGAACATCTTTTGAACCACTTTCCACTATGACAAACAGTTTTCAGAAATTAATTTTAGATCTAGTTCTGCTGGTGCGGTCATCGAGAGTCCGATTACAAAATGTCGTGGATTAATGAGTTCCAGATCAGCAGGGTCATTGGACATTTGACTAACCGGACGAAAATTTAGATAAGATTTGATAAGTACTAACAGTGTCACAAATTTCTTGATAAGTTAGGGACAAATTTTCTGCGATTCGCTTGAGGTGGTATTTAAAGGATGTAACTGACACCTCCCACAAACCACCAAATTGTTTTCCTAGAAGTGGAATGAAATGCCACTTGATGTTCCGCTGTACAGCAAAATCATTCCCTTTACTTCACTTCTGAATTAAATAGCACCATAAATTATTTTAGTTCCTTAGAAGTTCCAACGAAGTTTTGACTATTATCTGAATATAATTCGCTAGGATTTTCTCATCTACCGGCCAATATTTTGAGCACACTGTGGAATTCCTCTGGTGAGATTCTAAAGCAAGTTTTATGTGAATGGCCCATTTAGCCATACATACGAAGATGGTACCGTACGATGCACATACGATAATGAATTCTTGCGTCGACTGGTTCTTAATAATAATTGTTCGCAGTAATCTTCGCCAGTTTTTTTAAACACCTGCGTCTGTTCAGTGCGTCATTTTAGTAGTTGTCGCATAATATTAGTCATAGACTGGGGTTTCACCTAGTAACTATATTTTTACATGAGTGAACAGTTTTGTTTGGATATTGTTATTGTACCAAAGGCTAGTATGTACGATGAATTTACTCTAATAGTAATTAAAGACCTGAACGTAGTATAGCCAAATTAATGTAAGCAAATAACAAGTAGGTGAATTTACATTTTGCCAAAATGATTGGATGTTGTTGACCTTGAGCCAAGGATGAATTCTGTAGGTGCTTGCCAACTCTCAGAAATCAAACATCTTCTACGATAAGTATACGATACGTTTGTTTGCCAGGTCTAGGGTGGAATTTATTCTCACTTGATAGTACAACTTGAGTATTTTTTCAACAAAATAAAACCTGTTTTCAAAAACGCATTAGCCTAGTGTTTTCATAATCAGTATACGTAACCAGTTTTTTTTTTAGTTGGAAATTAAAATGGCTCTCAAAGATTCATTTGGAAGATGGAGAGAAAATGCATTTGTACTTAAGTCGCCAAAAGCATGCTCATCGTTAAAACAATTAATGGGAAACATATGGACTGCATACAAGTATGGTAATGGATTAAAAAATATCGACTGCCCCATACCTCCGGTAAAAACCTAATTTGTTAACATTATAACAATTTATTTAGTTAATAATTATTATTCCAAACGCACAAATTACCAAAACGGTTCGATAAACTTTAGAGAAGTGATGGGGACGCTCTTTTTTAAAAGTATATAGAGTCCCCCTACTTAAATTTTAAAAAATCGAGTACTGGATACTGATAAAATATTCATCATTCGATTGTAGTTGTTGTGAATAATATTTAGCTTCGATAATTAAATTAGATCTTATACGAGCTGTGTCCGTGCAATTTAGTTCGCTCCCATATTAAATATTTATCTTTTAAAATATAGTGCTATAATGACGGAATTTGGTTTGTCTTTTTGTTTGGTTGTCAGTTATGTACTTTTCTACGTTCACTAATGTCTAAAGTTAACTTTTGCAAGAAAATCAAATGTTTCTATGTTTTACTTTATACTAAGAATATCAATAAACGTATTTTTAATTCCTATAAATATGCACAAGTGCACAACACGCTAGGTTAGTTAGTTAATGTTCAACATTTAGCTCTATAATTTGTGATATTTTACTTATTGACTTAAGTAATCAAAATATCGAAAATTTACTTTTATACAGGGAGAGATAAATTATTGCTTAACCCAGATTCCCATTTACAATATTGATAATATATGTTTTTACTTTTAAACCGTTCCATACTATTCGAAATAAAATAATAAATTTTTATAGTATTGTTCCATACTATTGACACTTGATACACTGTAATATTTTTAAACATTTTAAAATGAATTGTTCTTTTTTTCCGGGATTTAATTCTGCAAAGTGACTCTGATAAACTTAATTAAATACCTACTATAATTATGTGAAAGTTAAGTCAACAAATATAAAAATAATGATAAATATACAAATTAATCTATTTTAACTTTAAATCATAATTTTGGTATTGTTCTATTCCAACAACATATATGAATACTTAATTGAGCTGGAATTTCACAATGCAAAAAACCAAAATAAAAATTAAAGAATAATTTTTCTAACGGTAAACTGTTTGAGTTGCTAGTCCAAAATGAAACTGTTGGAAATGAATTAAAAATCTTTTTAAATATCTACAAAGTGATTATTGTGAATTAAATATCGTCAATTTATCGTCAAAGATCACATCATTAAACCTTCTCCTTCTATTTTTGTTAAAAGAGTGTAAAATTTCAATTACCATTTTCTGTTTTAATCAAGTTAATTGGCGTTGATGCGCTTTTAAGTAAGATTAAAAAAAATAGGTTTAAAATTCAAATCTCAAACTGAATTGAGATAATAGAGAATTAGTTCACTTTTAAAAAACATAAGATGCTGATTTCTAAACTTATCATCTGAAAGGTGATAATTCAATACGCATTGTTATCCGTAACCTTCATTCAACCACACAATTAGATATTGTTAAATACGAGTTAGAAGTTTGTCTCATTACAAGATTTACGAAAACTGTCTCCCACTCTGTTCGTTGATATTTGAACAAAAACTAGATCAAAAGAATTTGTTCTAATGGCAACGCGTTTACTCACTAAAATAAAATCTAAAAGTTATACAAACCAAAAACAACTAGCCAATTTTTCCAATTCCAAAAATATGGTCACACCAGAGAATATTGTGGCTATCAACCCAGTTGTGTTTTACTGCAGAGCAGATTACCAGTCATCTAATTGTCCTAACCCCCGCTATGTCGCTCCGAAGTTTCTTCTCTGTTACAAAAACCATCCATCCCACTGAAAAAATGTTTTGATTTAAAAAAAATCCAACGTCGAAAAAACCCTGACAAGACAGTGAAATCAAGATTTCTACAATTGAATAGAATTTTATTCTTAGATTTAAATTTGTAATTGTACAAGGTAGAGCCAACTATATCTAATAACACATTTCCTAGAAATCTCCTGCTTAAACACAAACTATCATATTAATGCCACGTCCAAAACACCTTTACGTATAATTCTAAATTTATATTTAATGTTTCTATACTTGTTATTATAATTTCAGGGAGTTTACATAGCTCCTGGTATGGATACGTCGATTTTTAATAGCAACAATAATTTCCCAAAGTCATTTTTTTACGGTACATACAAAATGCATTTATATTATTCAAGAAATGATGAAATATTTGGCTGTCAAGTTTTCATAATGGATATTAAACGTCCGTAAAATGTAATATGTACGTATTGCAGATATAATAAGAACTTTTCTAAAATATGTTTCTAAAATATCTGAGTTTATAAGAAATCGTTCCATTTTTCACAAGAATTAGAGCATTTTTAAATGACTTGCAGGTAAAACAGAATTCAAAATCAATATAGTAAAGATTATAGTCCATAATCGTAGTGATCACCTGACCTTAACAAACTAAATCAATTCTATCTACTTTAACACAGATCGTTGGAATCGTGTGCATGAATCACTGTAACGAGGTTGACAAGTCGCTACTTCACCAGGCCCTATAGAATATATCACACGAAGTCTACAGTTCCATGGATATAATCATGAAACTGTTAACCATCATGTAAATATTGTTTACTTAGACCACAAAATAATACATATTAGGGGGAGATGGAGTGGCCGAGCGGACTAAGGCGTCGGTTGCAAGTCACGGTGTCCGGAGAGAGATGCCGACCTCCGTGCATGGCAGGAACCTACGTGTGGCCAACTTGAAATTCTGCCAAATCTAAAAACGTATTTTAAAAATATATTCCAACCACCCCTCTCCCTCCCAAATATAAAACAACAAAAACAGCTAATGGCCATGGTTGCCGGGCTTAAGTTCAATGAAAAAAAATATATACTATGATTTATGTCTAAATTGTTAATATCTACATTGAGTAGATTGTTGATAATTATTTTTACCAACCAAATTAATTTGCAATGGCAAGACCTGAGGAATTCTATCTAAATAACTAATGCACTGATAAAAATCAAACATAAAGTGAAACATTAGTATTTTCTCCTTCTCCGGAACTCAACCGACGGCAATATATATTGCTGTAACCCGTACAAGAATTAGACACATCTCAATAATCCAATTATTCTCCATCAGCAAGACCTTCAACCTGCAAGTTGGCCAAACACCTGTCTTAGAATCAAACATAAATTAATGATTTTTGAAGAATGGCAGAAATATGAAACGAAACACTCAGATATTATAATACTTCTACTGCCCGACCAAATATCAAAGAAGCCCTCAATGAATATCAATATTTAAAAATTATGATCAATGTTAAAACTAAACGTAATTAATAAATAAACTACCACAATCTTATTGCCAATATTAAATTGTTAATTTGTCTATTCTTAAAAAGTTTGTTTTTACATAATATAGATATTAATATCTTATCCCATTTTCATGTAAATCTACCCGGAGATTCCCGATTGCGGCCCGAATTTAGGTAGATAGTGGTATTTTATCTCAAATATAAGGATCCCGATTGCGTAGAAACACACATTGGTACACAAAATAACGTATTATTAATAATATAAAATTTTTATTTTTATAGATATTTTATTTTATTAATAATACGTTATTTTGAATATTTAATATTATGTATTTATATTATAAATAGTACAATAGTAAAATAATTGTAGTGTTAAATTTTAGTTTTGAGGTAGATTTTATTAAATTAAAATAAGATATTTCCATGTTTTTGGATTTTTAATTTTGATTTGTATAAATAGTATTTCTTACCTACTATGTACGGGCCTCAATCGAAATGGGTGCAAATTTAAAAAGGTTACTTTGGGCCGCAATCGGGCGACCTCCAATCTTCAAGTTAATATAAGTTGTAGGCTAAAAACAAAAATACTTATTGAAGCATTTACTTATCAACAAAAAAACTTAGTGACTCAGTAGGCCGTCATTGATTTGTATTTCTAATAGTATGCACTAATTATGCCATACTTAACATACATATTTTAAGGCATTTCAGATAATATTATTCGGGAGTAAATATAATATTATACGCTATAGTAGTTTAATCAACCTTAGAATTATATAAATTGAATTATCTGTAATCTCTTAATGTGAAACACTAAAACGTTGAGTTTGTCGATTAAAAATGTGATTATTGTGGAATTACACTACTTCTCGTTTTACAAAGATATTTTGGAATCCTATGCCAATTTACATATTTATGTATGGATGGTGACCAAAACAGAAAAAAGAAATATTTTTATTCATATTATATTTTATAACAAACATAATATTATATTATTATACAATACACAACTTATCATATAAATTGTTAATTGTTATTGTTATTATTAGTATTATTAATCGGCGATAGGACCGACTGATATCTTCTCCCACCATCTTATTGTTGTTTTTAAAATTATTAAATATATTTAATATAGATTCTTATAAGAGAGGGCCAACAAAAACACTTTGAAGGCTACTGGTTGGATCACCCTGAAGCAGATAATGATGAAATTATTAAAATACTAAAGTTTAAAAATACATGATTATAGAATAAGCTTTATTAAGCACAAAAAACGTAACATTATTAAATTCAATTGTTTAAAAATAAGTTGTACAAAAAGAAAAATTGATAACCGTGTAAACTTATAAAGTAATAACGTTTTAATAATGGATATCTTAAACAATTGGTAAAAAAAAACGTGTTTAGAAATGTTAAAATAATACCTTTTGGTTAAACTCAAAATTTGGTAAATTTGTGAGTAATAAGTTGATTATTTTGTATTTTTCTGGGCTGAAATCTCTCTTCAATCAGCGCTTATACATAATATAGAACAATAGTTAGCTTTAAAAATGTCAAGTGTATAATGTCAAGTATACCAAATACACGTTAAGACACCTTTGTTTTTCAGTCTTAAATCTGGATTCTATAATTGGTCATACATTAAGTAGAATGAGAAAAAATTATTTTTCGTCAAAAACTATCAAAAGTTTATTCTATTAGGGGTGAAAAATAGCCCCAAAATCTTGAACGCGTCTGATGGTCTGTATAATAAAAATTATATACAACAAAAACATCACTGGATATTAGTTGGAACTTTATTTTAGCAATTAATAAGAAGCAAAGGCAAATACGAAGACAATATCAATAAATAATAATAAAAAAAAAAAACCATGTGTGTCTCAAACGACCTTCAGAAGGTGTGAAAACATATAATATGAGCTTAAAAATACAGTTTTATTATAACGCATACATTATATATTAAAAGTTACGGACAAAACTGTTAGTGGCAAAATAATTTTAGGTGTTCTTCAAAAAATTTGGAAAAAAATCACAAGTTGAAAATATTACCTCCATAGACAATAAGCGACGGCCGGTCTGACGTCTAAATTAAACTGTTGTGGCAAAAGAATAAAATTGTCGGTGTTATTTGCGATCGTTATGAAGCTACGCCCCTTGTGCACAAGGCGGCATATCGTTGCGTTCCACCGAGTCTCCACCAATCAGCACGTCAGCAGCGCATTACGCGAAAAGGGTAATGCTCGAGTAACGCTCGAAAAATTTCACTGCCCAAGTGGAAAAGTCTGAACGCCACATAAGATGTTTTCACATCAAACATAATAATTAATAATATAATAAGCTCATCGAATCAAATAGATGTCATATTTCATAAGGGTCAAAAATATTTTTCCCAGTAGTTTTCATAAGGGTTAGGGAAAAACATAAAAAAAATTGTGGAGAAATGGGTATTTTCAGTTTACGACAAAATTGAATTAACTCAAAAACTAATAACCATTAAACATTTTAAGCTTAAAATTCAATAAAACTTCCATTTTTTAAGAAAGAATCAATACAAAAATTATCTACACTAATTATACGTTCAAGTTATGTACAATGGATGTTGCATTGTTGAGTTTATTGTGGTTGGGTCACGGTGTGAGTCCTTCCTTTGAAAACACTTCTGAAAAAATATTTCAAAACCGAGGTTCCGCATCGATAACAATATCGTGTACGAATATTATTTTATGTTTTTGTGTCAATAATATACTGAAATAATACAACAATGATATCATTAAATATTACCCATAACCCATGTATTATTCAATCCCGAACTGTGATATTGTGATATATTTGAATATTATAGTTCGAATAATTTATTTAACATATTATATTTAGTTTTAATGCATATCGTTACAATGCAAACAATAGTAAACAAAACCCAATAAAAACAAAGAACATTTTTCTATTATTTAGTCGGAAAGCATAATACTATAAGCAGCTTGTATGTGAAACTTGAATTTACACGTCGAACAGTACGAATCTGTTTAATATCTGTTATAACTTATAATATATATGTTGGCACCGATAAGAAGCAAACAAAAGAAACAATGAAACATAAAATATTTTTGTTTATGTTTATACAACTGTTTTACACGTCATTAAGATTGGGCTCGTCTACCAGTTCAAAAAAAATTTTGAGTTCTCCATTTGTAAGTGAATTTCTAAGTTATTTTTATTATAAATATCACTATAGAATAAACAGGTAATGCAATAAATAAATATACTATGATAGGTATTATAGAAGTCACATTCAAAAATATTAAGTACCACTGTATTACTGTAAGAACAGCTTGTCTGCTATAAATTGTATTAAATGTTCAAGATTTTTGACCAAGTATAACATTTTTATCAACGGATAAAATAAAACGATAACAATTCTTGATATTTTAGATTCTGAGTGCATTTATTTTACAATGATGTGTGTTTTTTTTTAATTTTTAATTTTCTTTTGTGACTGTCATCATGTTTTAGGACAGTAAAAGTGCTTGGATTTTCTTCAACAGTAGCTTTTCTGATAGGAAAGTGAATCTAGTTGGTACTTCGGGGGGTCAAAAGTGAAAATTTTACAGTATTTTTCAAATGCAGCATAAAAAACAAAATAAAAATTTTTAAAAAAAAGGAATTTTTACACTAAAATCTGTTTTCGAAAAAATCGATTTTGGTTTTTGGTGCAACTCTTAAACATTAGTTTATATTACAATTTCTATACACGATAACATTTTCAAAATGTTTTGATTTATTTTGAACTGTTTAGGCACATTTTCATTTTCCATTTTTTTTTAGTTTTTTTTCTAAAAATATCAATACAATTTTATTTGTTGGTTAAAAAAGCTTAAAAATGTAATACAAGGCTCCTACTATATTGTTACAATGGCATTTGAAAAATATTAAAAATCATTG